AGTGTTTGTACAGTAGAGCTAAGATGGCTATCCAAGTACAAATCAGAGTACGAAACCTATCCAATTGCAGAGAGGTGTAAGACAGGGTGACGTTATATCCCTGAAACTCTTCACCGCTGCATTGGAAGACGTTTTCAAGCTATTGGACTGAAAAGGATGCAGTATTGACATCAATGGCTAGTACATCACTCACCTTCAATTTGCTGACGATATAGTCCTTATGGCAGAATCGCTGGAGGACCTAAGCACTATGCTCAATCACCTCAATAGTGTCTCCCAACGGATAGGTCTTAAGATGAACATGGACAAAACAAAAATCATGTTTAATGTCCACGTCACACCTATGCCGGTAGTTGTTGGGAGCACTAAGCTCGAAGTTATTGACGAGTATGTTTACTTGGGACAAATAGTTCGACTAGGTAAGTCCGACTTAGACCGAGAGGTCAATCGACGGATTCAACTCGGCTGGGCAGCGTTCGGGAAACTACGACACATCTTCTCGTTAGACATACCTCAAAATCTGAAAACGAAATTGTACAACCAGTGCGTGTTGCCAGTGATGACTTACGGATCTGAGACGTAGTCCTTCACTGCTGGCCGTATGAGGAAGCTCAAGGTCGCTCAGCGAGCTATAGAGAGGGCTATGCTCGGAGTTTCTCTGCGTGATAAACTTAGAAATTAGTATATCCGCAGTAGAACCTGAGTAACCGACATAGCCCAACGGATTAGTAAGCTGAAGTGGCAGTAGGCCGGCCATACAGCTCGAAGAACCGACAACCGATGGGGAAGAAAGGTTCTTGAGTGGCAGTTACGCACCGGTAGGCGAAGTGTAAGGCGACACCCCACGAGATGGAGTGACGACCTGGTAACACATGCAGGTAATCGATGGATGCAGGTGGCTCAGGACCGTGCTTTGTGGCATTCCTTGGGTGAGGCCTATGTTCAGCAGTGGACTTATGAAAGGCTGTAATGATGATGATGATGAATGTTCTCGTGTTTGTATTATTTACTCGAATTTATTTCTAAATTGTGCCAGTTTTTCGGCGAGACCTCAATTGAATATTATACTCAAGTCTGTGCGAAAGAAAGTATATCGGTTGGCAACTATAAGGCTCGACACGTTCACCCACCGGCTAAACCTTCCGGGGTTAGTGGCTGAGGTGGGTCAAAGGCAATAATATAAATTACCTTTGGGCACCTCAGCCAGACATCTACATATTGATACTGTCACTGCTATTTCTTGATAGGTGCTTTCGATTTTTGACGCGGTAAGTGCACGAAACGTTATCCCCTCCATATGAGGAGTGGAAATACACAGTCCGATGGTTATTAGTTAGTCACAATAGCAAGTTGGTAGTTGTTGGCTGGGTTAAAATCAGTTATTGAGTTTTTCTGGCAAGAAATCACTCCCGTGCCTCGGAAAGCACGTAAAGCCGTTGGTCCTGCGCGTCATTTCTCTCCGGTCGTGTGGGATTCACGCCCGTCGGATTATGAGAGTGAGAAAATAAAGAGTGCACTTGTGCTTGCGCATAAACTCTGACACAATAATCTTGTCCTGCGCATATGGCTAATCTTCATTTACACTGGCCGCCCTGACCGAAATTCGGTCTGGAGGACGATATTATCATTAGTTGGTTCTATGTTCGTAGAATAAGTGCGGCTGGCTTACGTACGTTGGATTATTAATTGCTTTTGTTATGCTAAGACAGTTCAATTTACCATCTACTCATTTAGCGCTTCATCACCATTATGACCAGGTGGGATTGTGGTTAAACATTGGCTTATAATAAGTAAAAACAAAGGAAATGATTTAGTTGGATGGAAAATTAAAAAAAAAACATGGCTTCCGAAAGATGGTGGTATAGTGACTCGTTGAATCTAGGCGGAAAGTATTGACTAGCGATGGACAACAGCGTCAATGGTATTCACCTGGTACTGTGATGTGTGTGTGTGTGTGTGTGTGTGTGTGTGTGTGTGTGTGTGTGTGTGTGTGTGTGTGTGACTTTTTCTGTCACTAGGGCAGCGCGACTTTGGATTAATGTGATTAATTTGACAGATGTCATGGATGTTTATATTGTTAGAAGAATATACTATAAAAATTAACGTTTCTTTCTGAAATATTAGTTATATTTCATATTAATTATATTAAAATAGATAAATCAAACTATAAATATTCTTGAAAGTAGGAGAACTAAATAAAGTATGCAAAAAATTAAAGTGCAACCACTGAGGCATTGTTTTGTGTATACAGGTTTATACACTAGAAACCGAAAACTTTTGTTTGGAACGCGACTTTTCATTTATGGTGATACTGTAACAAATAACTTCAGTCCAGACTAGCGACATCTGGTGAGCAGTAAATTATTATCCCTCATTCACCTAACTTGGTGGTTATGACTCCAAAAGGAGAGACCTACGTCAACTTGAGCCTTTGCAGGACGAGGAGGAAGAAAATGAAGTTATAATTATATATTATAAAAATTAAAATGCAATAGATTAATTTGTTTTTTTTTTAATGAATTTTAGAAAAGTTTTCTTAAAAATATCTATTATGGTATAGTATAAACTTATAAACTTTTTCAGTATTTATAAAATTTACAATTTATGAGAACTCGATGCACCCTCAGGAAAAACCACTTGACACTTTATCAACGGTGATTTAATAACAAGGAGGTTATAATATATATATTTTACAACCTCCTTGTTAAATAATTACAGTCAATACATTTCTGGTATGTATGAACGTGACGATACATGTTATTTATATATTATTTATAGATTAAAACCAAGAAAATACAACCTTTTTCATTTAGTTTTTTAGAAAAAAAACCTTTGTAAAAACAGTTAAATTTAATTACAGAGTTTCGAAGCACATAACTTCTAATATTATCACAAAAAATTACAGCATCTCTTTATTGAATAAAATCATTTACAAGCCAATTTTTTTAATAACCACAAAGGTGATCAAGAGGTTTTTTCGGTACAACAAGTTTTCAGGTAACCTTTGAAAAATGTACCTTTTTCCTTACAATACAACATAGGGTAGGTTACTAAGGATTATTTTTTATAAAATTAATTTTACGGATTTTAACGCGTTTAATTTTAATTTTTGAAGTGAAAACTTCTTCAGCCGCGTTAAGTGATTTTTGGTAGGGAGAAAATTTATGGGTTCGCGTCATCGATGACCTCGACATGGAAAATAAGTTATCAATAGGCGTGCGTCGTTCACACGCGCTGATTGGCTCGTGAGTATCGTTTGCACGCGCTGATTGGCTCTCCAGTCGCATTCGTGCAATTCAGTTCGTGCGCGACAGTACCCATGCGCAGCTATACCCTCCACGTATCGTTCAGTGCTAGACTTACGTGCCGCGAGTTATACATGTATACGCATATATCATTGACTTTTTTTATAGGATATGGTGACAAACGAGTATGATGGTAAGTGGTTGCTGTGGCCCATAGACATCTACATCTATCCTCGTTTGCAAATCAAACTATAGATGCGTTGTCACCCGTGAAGACTAAGATGTAATGCCTCGTTTCCAGTAAAAAAGTGGAGACCCTTTTACGGAACCCTAAAAAAGATGGCGGTATAATATATTTTAAACTAGCTGTTCCCCGCGACTTCGTTCGCGTGTTAGGGTTTTTATGTTCCTGCGCGGAACCCTGATTCTTTTTCTAAAATAAAAGTAGCCTATATTACTCCTTATGAAATCAGCTATTTGTCAGTGAAAGTCCTGTCAAAATCGGTCCAGCCGTTTCGGAGATTACCCGGAACAAACAGACAGACAGACAGACAGACAAAAATTTTAAAAATTGTATTTTAGTTATAGGTATCGTATTTACTTTCATATGCATTTAGTAAAAAACTGTAATTTTGACATTACAAACAGACACTTCAATTTTATTTATTTGTATAGATGACAGATCTAAATACCCAGAGAGCAGCGTAAAAGATGATACACTTCTTTTTTTTATAGGATTAGGGTGACAAACGAACACAGTCCACCTGATGGTAAATGCTTGCTGTGGTCCATAGACATCTACATCTATTCTCGATTACGAATCAAAATGTAGATGTGCTGTCACCCGTGAGGCCTAAAATGAAATGCCTCGTTTCGAGTAAAAAAGGTCTTCGGTTCTCTACACTCACCATACGAAACACAGCAGTTTTAAGCTGCAATTTTACGCTGGTATTCTGTGAGAGAGTGGTCCTTCCCCGGTCGAGCCCACCCATTCGGGCTATAACTATACTACTAATATAGCAGCAGCATGACTCTACCACGTGAAAAAAAATTTTCACTTCTGTCGACAGTCCTCATGGCTGCCTTTGTTTTTTAATTCCCGACGTTTGCTTGGCAGCACCCATGGTTACGGGGGTCTGAGGTGTTTGAAGTCCTGATGTCTTTGTGGACTGTGGATATTTTCAACTTTTAAGTATTAATTCATGGTTCGATCTACGCATATTAAAAACTGATGATAACCTTCATTAAACGCGAAAAAAATCCGTAAAACTAATTTTATTCAATGAGTAGTATTCTTGTAAATATAACAAGTCATCAAAGAGTATTGTATCCATCTTAATTATAAAAAATTGGCAGTGGTAGTGTATGGTTTATAATTGATCATTTATACACTAAATAAATATCTATCAACTAAAAAAACTTGTATTATAAGAATTTGATTGTTTAAAATTATGTTTTTGTAAAAAAAAATCTACTTCCTTCGAAGCTTACGACCTATTTATAGTAATTGCTTCATGTATTATAAAATTATTATATGTTGTGTCTTATTAAATATATCAAATTATTACAGTTGTTTTATTGACATAAAAATATTACATAATGACTTTATATTATTATTAACATATCTAATGCTCTTTTGCACTAGTTATATATCGCTATAACCAGATCCCTTTGTATTAATAAAACGAATGCTATCTTAATATTCTTCAGAATTTGCACTTTTTGAATCTTTCAAAGGTTACCTGCGACAAATGCTTAGAAGAATCTCGGGAACTGCCTGTACATTAATTGTCTAGGAGGCCTCGCCAAACCTTCTTCTTGATACGCAATTCTTTGTGGTTGTAGGTAATATGAGGTGGGTGTTCTTATACTAACTCCAGAGACTTGTGGTCGTCTTCTCGATTGAAAGTTACTTAATTCCGATGCCGCGTATTGCGAATCTGGTTGGAAATTGCTTCGAAATCGGTATGTGTAATCTCTATCTGGTGATATTACAAATCCACTGGGTATCCTCACTTTAGGTGAAATGGGCGCCAAAGCTTCATTAAGTGCCACATCGTAGTCATTTTCTATTGAATCTGCTAGGTTTTGTTTTATTGATATATTATCTGGTATGTGTAACGGCTTTCCCGTTGCAGTATACGGTTTTGAGATTTCAGGTGTAGGCACTGGTGGCTTATAACTAGATTTGATATAATCATCGGGTGATAAGGTAGATTGAAGTTTTTCTCTTATTGCTTCGTAGTTATCATTGAATACTTTTAATACTTTTGTCGCAAGGGATTTAGATTTTTGTTCTGTTGTAGCAGCCTCTGTAGTGGTGGTGGTTGATGGAGTTGTTATAACCACTTCTGTTGTCGTCGTCGTTTGCTTCTTGTCTTTACCTTCATATTCAATATCCTCCTCGTCATAGTATTCATATTCATCTTCAGGCTTTAAATTGCTCGAGAACGTTGATTTCTCTGTACCAACAGTTGTACTTATTTTCTCTTTTGTTGTAGCAATTGCTTCAGTGGTGGTTGTTCTTGAAGTAGTTGATGGTGCAGCAGTAGTGGTGGTTGTAGTTGTTGTGGTTGTGATGGGTTTAGGGGTGGTGTTAGGTGGTAAACTTAGGTCCTTACCAGCAACAGGTTGCAAGCCTCGTGGCAGATAGGGACTGCCACCCCTAGACGGTAAAAAAGGACGCTTAAGAATCTTTACATTAGGCCGGATTTCTTTTATTTTCGTAGAAATTTCCTCTTCTTTTACTTTAATTTTTTCTGTGATAGGTTGCTTTTCATATTCGTAATAATAGTCATCGTTATTATTTTTTGGTTTAACTGGCTGTTCTTCTCTGTTGTGCTGCACATACGAAGGTTTCTTTACCGGTTGCCCATAATCATAATCATCTTCTTCGTAATCTATTGGCCTTTTAGGCGTTTTAGATTTTGCATTAACTGAACTTGTATAATGCGGTCTTGTGGGTTTAAACTTTTCTTTTTCCACTGATTCCAGTCTTGGTCTTTGCTGAATAGTACTATATTTACCAGAGGATGATGTTTTACTTCCTTCTTCTTCTTCGTAGTCGTCATAATATTCATCATCACTAGCTTTGGGCGATGGCTTTGTAGTGGCTATAGGTACGTACTCATATTTATCTTTTTCATTAGCTGGGACAGGACGTTTAATTTTTGGTGGCATACGTGGTTGACTAAAAATTCCACGACCGTTAGGCTTCACTAACGGTTGACCTTCTGGTGCCGATGGCACCTGACGTTTTTCTTCATGGACGTTGTCTTCACTTTCATAGTTTCTTTCAGGTTTGATATTGGGCTTTTCTCTATTATAGAGTCTTCGACTTTCTGTTGTTTTGAAACGATTTCTGAAATTATCTCTTTTACTTTCTGCGTTTCCAACGTCATCTCTTAACGGTTTTCTTTCTTCTGTGGGTCTGATCTCATCTCTTGATTTACTGTCATCTCTAGAACGTATTTCATCTCTCGTTCGAGATTCATCTCTTGATCTTATTTCATCTCTTGATCTTGTTTCATCTCTTGATCTTGTTTCATCTCTTGATCTTATTTCATCTCTTGATCGTATTTCATCTCTTGGCCTTTTTTCATTCCTAGGCTTTATTTCATCTCGTGGTCGTATTTCATCTCGGGTTTTGATTTCATCTTTTTCCGATGGAATATCTTCTCCAGTAGTAAAATCATCGGAAGAACTTATTTCATCTCGGGATTTAAAATCATTCCTTTTTCTACCATCTTTCCGAAACTTTGTTTCACCTCGTGATGTTCCTTCCCCAGACACCGAATCATCTCTAGACCTTTCCTCATCTCGCGGTCTCAAATCATCCCTTGATCTTGGTTTATATTCATTCCTTTGCCCACCTCGTGGTCTACTATCTTCATCAGTGTCGTATCTGTCTTCTTCGTCGTCTTTGGGTCTCCCTTGCCTTCTTCCGCCTTTAAAAGCTGGTATTCTTTCTTCCCTTCTATCATCGTCATCATAAGGTCTTCTCTCTGAATAGGGCCTTTTGCCTGGTCTTCTATCATATGGTCTTCTTTCTTCAAAATAATCTTCACTTTCATCTCGCGGTCTCGATCGTGGTTCATATCTGTAAATATATAAAAAGAAAATTTAAAGTTTCTGATGTGGCAACTGAAATAATTGCTTTGGGAATTGATCAATTGAAAGATAAAAGACTATAAAATATTTAAACCTAGTTTATGTTCATATTTTTTTATATAAAAATACTTACGTGTCATCGTAATCATCACTATACGGCCTCCGCTTGCCTGGTCTGAGAGGTCTTCCTTGTGGTCTTCTTGTTCTGCCACCCCTGAAATAATATTAATAGGTTTAATGGCAATCGATTATTTTACAAATATTTTATAGAAGCAAAGAATGAAATGAAGAGATGGATTTTTTTGTAATCACATTTTGTCCCGTTGTGATATTCGACACGTGTCGGAATAACTATCACATATTTGTTTTGCTGTACAACAAATTTTGAATTTTGAACGAGAATTTTGCTAGCAAATTAGTTTAGAACAATGCGGGTAGCATTGTTCATAAATCATATGACTGAATAATTCCTTATACGTTTCTTGATCTTGTTACGTTGTCATTTTGCTTAATTATACTCAGAACGGCGCCGGGCAGAATCAAAGATGCGTGACGACTTTTTTTTTTTTTTTTTTTATAGAATAGGGGGCAAACGAGCATGCGGCTCACCTGATGTTAAGTGACTACCGCCGCCCATGAACAACCGCAACACCAGGGGAATTGCAGATGCGTTGCCGGCCTTTTAGAAAGGTGTAAGTTCTTTTCTTGAAGGTTCCTAAGTCGTATCGGTTCGGAAAATTCGCTGGTGGTAATTGATTCCACAAAGAAGTTGTGCGAGGGAGAAAACTTCTTCTAAATCGCACAGTGGTGGACCGCCAATCATCCAGATGGTATGGATGGTAACGCGAGTTTTGTCGCGACGTGCGATGGTGAAATTGAGCGGCTGGAATTAGTCCGAACAATTCCTCAGAGCACTCCCCGTGATAGATGCGATAAAATACGCAAAGAGATGCAACATCTCTACGCAGTGCCAGTGTATCGAGCCGATCGGAAAGAACTCGGTCGTCGACGATTCGAATCGCTCTGCGCTGGATGCGGTCAAGTGGAAGGAGCTGGCACTGGGGTGCCCCGGCCCAGAGATGAGAACAGTATTCCATGTGGGGCCGAACTTGCGCTTTGTAAAGTTGCAAGCGATGTGCCGGCATGAAATACTGTCTCGCTCTGCTGAGCACGCCAAGCTTTTTAGAGGCCAATTTGGCCTTCCCTTCCAAGTGACCACGAAACTGCACGCTATTCGATATGTCGACGCCAAGGATTCCGATACTGGCTGAGGCAGCAAGGGGAGTGCCTTGAAACTGAGGAGATACGACAAAGGGGTTCTTTTTAGCGGTAAACGCGCAAACTTGTGTCTTCTGGGGATTGAACTGGACTAGATTTAGTCGGCCCCAATCCGAGACTTTGTTAAGCAAAGACTCGACTTCAGACACAAGTTTGTCCCGGTACTCGGCGACGTTTTCCCGAGAAATATTGGCACGGCCGGTATATAAGGCATCCCCAGTGCTGTCGTCTGCATAGCAATGAATGCTACCAGTTAGCAGCATATCATTGATATGCAGGAGAAACAGCGTTGGTGATAGCACGCAGCCTTGTGGAACACCAGCGTTGATAGGCTTGTAATCAGAGCATGCACCGTCTACTACGACCTTGATGCTCCGATCAGCAAGGAAACTGGTGATCCATTTGCACAATTTCTCGGGAAGCCCATAGGAAGGAAGCTTCGAAAGAAGCGCCTTGTGCCAGACCCGATCGAAGGCCTTCGCTATGTCCAAACTAACGGCCAATGCCTCCCCCTTGGACTCTACTGCCTCCGCCCATCTATGAGTTAAGTAAACTAAAAGATCACCTGCTGATCGACCCCGACGAAAACCGTACTGACGGTCACTGATCAGCTGGTGATCCTCAAGGTACCTCATGAGCTGGCAGTTTATAATGGATTCCATTATTTTGGAGAACAAGGAGGTGATGGCGATAGGCCTGTAGTTGGACGGGTCTGAGCGGTCGCCTTTTTTAGGGATCGGGTGGACCAAAGCTGTCTTCCATGAATTCGGGACTACGCCTTGGGAGTAGGAGTACCGGAAAAGACGCGTTAAAACCGGTGCCAACTCCGGAGCACACGTCTTCAGCACAATGGGAGGGACTCCATCGGGCCCACTCGACTTGCTGACGTCCAGGGAGAAGAGTGCTTTGCGAACCGAGCGCTGTGTAAATCGCACATCCGGCATGGAGCACTCACATCGCGGGATGGTCGGCGGTGTGTTCCCCCCGTCATCTAGAGTCGAGTTGGACGCAAAAAGAGAGCACAACAGATCGGCTTTCTCTTTTGCGGCATGGGCCAGTGAGTCATCCTCTCTGTGCAGAGATGGGAGGGATGGCTGACAGAAGTTCCCTTGGACAGCCTTGGCGAGAGACCAGAATGCACGGGTTCCCGAAGGAAGGCGAACTAGCTTCTCGCCAATTCTGCCGATGTGCTCAGACCTTGCCTTGGCAATGACGCTTTTGAAGGACCTGGAGGCGGAATTATACTTCTTTTTAAGTGCGCTGGTGTTTAAATCCCGAGACGTTGATGCGTCAGCCCAGGCCCGGTAGCACTCCTGCTTATAGCGTGATGCTATTTTACAGGAGCGACCAAACCATGGCTGGGATCTGCCTCCGATGGGCACCACAGAGGATGGAATAAAAAGTTCCATACCCTGAAGTACCACATCAGCAACAGAATCGGCAACAACGCTGGGATCTTCCGGCGAGAAGCAAACCCGCACCCAAGGGTAGGATGCAAAAAAAGACCGCATCCCGTCCCAATCAGCTGACCTATAGTGCCAAACACGGCGGCAAGCTGTAGATCGCAACTGCGATTGGAGCGTGAGTGGCACTGTGCTCCGGATCAGACAATGGTCCGAAGAGCCCAGAGGGGCATCGACGGAGACCTGATATCCGTCCGGATGAGAGGTCAGCAGAAGGTCCAACAGGGAAGGTACATGGTCTTCCACATCTGGGATCCGCGTAGGCGAAGTAACCAGTTGTGTTAGACCATATGCCAAAGCAAAGTCGTAGACAGATCTACCCGCATGATCGGTTGAACGAGAACCAAGCCATTCAGCGTGGTGGGCGTTGAAATCACCGAGTATCACGATCTCTGCGGATGGGACCTGTTGTAGCACGGAGTCTGCAGCCATTTGGACGTGGTCGATGAGTCGGTCTGTGTCGGCATTACCGCTATGGGACCTATAGAGGCACCCGTAGACGCGGGGATGGTCGTCGCTGTCTACGCGCAGCCATAGGATGGACAGGTCCGTACCTTCAAGGCTGCCGAGGCGTCGAAAACAGATGTCCTCTCTGACGTATACACAAACTCCAGCCCGGGGCACAAAGGAGTGTTCCAATTTGTACCCCGGGTAGGAGAGATATGAAGTATCAGCCGGAGAGGACACCTGAGTCTCGGTTAAAAAGAGCAAGGCCGGCTTCGCCGTCTCTAGATGGTAATGGACAGCGTTAAGGTTGGAATGAAGTCCCCTGATGTTGCAAAAATTCACGGATAGCGTGACAGGGGTCGCCTTGGTTGTATTGCTCCGCTTGCCCCGAGCAGCATTAGTCACGAGCGGAATTTTGCCCCCCCCAGAATACGCGGGGCAGCCTGAGCACCCACGCTCAGGAGTGAAGTAGTTTGTTCGTGGATGCTCAGCGAGGGATTCTCCAGTGTTGCTGGTACCCTCCTGGGGTAGTCTTGTATTTAATTCCACTACCATGTTGATGGGGGGGGGGGGGGGGGAATTGGGCCTCCGGCCACCTGCACTCACCAAACGCAACGCAGAGGTAAACCTCTACTTCACGCTGGTATTCTGTGAGGTCGTGGTACCACCCCGGTTCGAGCTGGCCCATCCGTGCGACAGCAAAAGCTACCGCTTGGCTCTACCACTGTTAAAACTGGTACTGCGAATCTGTTTGCAAAGGATTTATCGACCAAATTGGCAAGAAGATGGGCTAAATTAAGAGCACCCTCAACTGACGTGCTTGTACACGCAGGTATATAAACGTGAAGGAGACGAGAGAGGTGTATCAAGATCGTGCCAAATGGAAGTCAGTAGTCTCTGTCTGGCTGTTTACCCCTCTGGGTGATAAGAGTGAGCGTTATATATAGTTTTTGGATTATAACAATACGAGTATATGCTAAAATGAAGAAAAAGAGGCGTTGGAATACCAATAAGCTTTACATTGATACATATACACTTGGATGCTCTCTGTTATAAAATTACTAAGTCTGATTTTAAATAGTTGTTAATCAGATCACTTACCTCTCTTCAGGTGGGTAGTCGTAGTCGTCTCTTGCCGGATAGTAATAGTCATCATCGTAGTAGTCGTATCTATAGTTGGGTCGCCTGCGCGGTGGGCGGGAGGGGCGTTGCGTTGTGGTGGTCGTCGTGGTGGTGGTGGGCGGTGGCGGTGGTGGCTCCGTCGACGCGGCTTTGTAGAGAGCTTCGTTTCTGTGAACATTTTTTTAAATAGAAATAAGGATGAAAAGCAACACAGACATACATACAGACTATCTGATAGAAAGTGAATATTGTAGTCGATAGATACGTTCTCCTTGCATTTCTACCCTCGATTTAAGGATCAAAATGCAGATTTCGAATTGAGAGAAAGTTCACATTCTGAAAATTCACATGCTTTAATTCTTCTACCCATAATGTATTTGTACCATATTGGTTAAATATCCCCTCCCCATTAGATGTAGTGACGATCTGGTAAGAGATGCCAGAATCTATTCGATGCAGGTGGCTCAGAATCGTGCTTAATGGCATTCCATCGAGGATGTTAAGCAGTGGATTTATGATGGGCTGTAATGATGATGATGATGATGATGAAAATAAACTTGTTTTCTTTCTTTGTCTTTCTTTCTTCGGCCTCACCAAACGAAACGTAACCGCATTATGCTACTATTTTACGCTAACATTCTGTGCGTCGTCATACTCCGGTCGAACCATTTGTGCTGAAGCAGTAATTCACTGCAGTATGGCTCTCCCGCGTAAATTAAAAAGTAGAACAGTTGGAACTGCGTAGCAGATGCCTGTGCTTGACGTCAGAAATAGGTAAGAGAGTGGTAGGAGTCTCTACCACAGAGTAATGTGAGGTGATTGTGAGTGTGTGAAATGTGATTGAGGATGGCTATCGTAGGCTTTTCTCCCGTTATGTGACGAAACATGAGTCACTTTTTTTTAAAGAATAATGATGATTAACAAGCACACAGTCTACCTGATGGTAAGTTGAGCTGCTGCCCATAGACATCTATAGATAGATTGACACTCCTAAGGACTAAGATGGAATGCCTTGTTTCCAGTAAAAAGGGTCTCCGGTTCTCTACACTCACCATACGAAACAAACTGTGTTAGGCTGCTACTTTACGCTAGTATTCTGTGAGAGCGTGATCCTACCCGGTCGATGTCATATGTCTAGCGTTTTCCACTTTAATGGCTTGTTGTACTTCTATATTGTGATAGCAGTGATGATTAGAGAATCGGTTTGGTTGCACTTTTAATTACAGCCCATCAAACGTAGAACCACCACAACCACAACTCACTGATGAACATAGGCCTCCTCCATAGATTGTTCTATTGAAGAGATATTTGCTATAGTTGCCACTTTGCAACCACATATTTGTTATGTTAAATTTGTTATCAGGAAGGTGCCGTTGACCTATTCTTACTTCCGTAAAGAACTGGTATAAATTGTCGTCGTTTGTCTTTCCGTCCGATTACAATCTGGGTTTGTCGTGTAGAGGTGGTCCACTACCTCCATGTCGTCTCATGCGTGGCGTACAAGGCGACAGGGGGATACAAAATCAAGAGCAGCAGAGTCTTCTTAATAACGACAAAAAAATTAAAAATTGCGTTTGTCAAACCACCTGCTTAGCGTGGTAATTATGGCAAATTTCTCAATATGAAATAATCTGTATGGTGTTTACCTAGAATACTATAATACATCCATATTTAGCGATGAACTTTATATACTGTAACAGTAACGGTGACAATCTTGACGTTGGGATTGGGCTTCATCACAATTACCAACAGGTGGAGTTGTAGTCAAGCACTAGGCACTGTAGGTAAAAAAAAAACTAAGAATTCGTTGTTTAAATATTTACCGCTTTTATCTGATATGCTGTTTACGTTAAGAAAAGAAAGATTTTTAATCTTTACTAAACTTACCTGCTGAAATAATTTGGAGAGTTAACGCAGTCTACTTCGGAAACGAACTGACAAATGAACGTTTTCTGGTCGAATGCGGTGTAATTCGCACAAAGGAAGTCATATCTTGTGCCGAAGAGGCAATGATGGTAAACCTGGAAAATAAAAATGTAGATTAATCAAGAGGGAAATTGGAAAATAGGTCGCTATTAAAAAGTATATAATGATCGGATTAAATTAATTTTGAAAATGGAATACAAAGAGGCAATAGTTAAATGTATGCTTAAAATTAGCAATAAGAAATTATACTGCTTTTATAAGAATAGCTTAAAATATTGTTGGCATGTTGAGATAGATTACAATATTTAGATGACACCGCGAAAAAATGCATCACCTTTCGAAAACAACGACGAAACTGGAATTTTGATATAGGTAAATTCATGTCTTTATCTTGAATTTGCTTCTTCAAAAACACGATTGTAAGATTTTGACTCGATCATAATTATTTGCGAAAACACCTCTAAAATCACTATAGTTGAAATTACAACGAAATTACTTAACCTATATGCTTGGGAACCACTCAAATACATTCATAACATCAATATTCGTAATTTAATTTCGATTTCGATTTCTAAGCGGTCTGAATCGTGGCGGGCGCTACACAGTTTTAGACCTTATGACGGCGTTTTTGAAGTTTTTATAGAAATTATGTTTCACTCTGGTCAGTCCGGCGATAGCCCGCTTCAACGGTTTTTAATTTGTCGCCTTAAATAGAATTTAGTTGTTGAATTACAGTCAAGAAAAGTTTAGTAACAACCTTTATAGTCCTGCAGATGGGCAAAGGCCATCGTTCATTTATGAAAGTGTTATAAAGCAATTGACTACCTCGTTAGCCTAGATGGTCGTAAACGCAATTGCTGATCATACGGTACCGGGTTCGAATTCCGGGTCGTGCCAAAAATCAAGAAATTCTTTATAGCAGCCCGAAGTCAGGAAGATGACAGTGTTTCGCCACCATGCCTCGGAAAGCACGTAAAGCCGTTGATCCTGCGCCTGATATCTCCAATCGTGTCGAAATACCATCCCATTGGACTATGAGTGAGGAGCAGAGAGTGCAACTGTGCTTGCGCATACACTCGTGCACTATAACCTTTTCCTGAGCAGACGGCTAGTTTCTGTTGAGACTGACGCCGTGACGGAAATTCGGTCTTAATGAAAATATTATTATAAAGTAATTAGGCCAGCGCCCTGCCTCAATGCGCTTTGCCGGACATCCTGGTTTCCTCATGATATTTTCCTTCACCAACGAGCACTTGCTAAATAAGAACTTGAAATATCAAAAATTATTGGTGCTGATTGGAATCGAACCCAGGTTACTCGCGTTCTGTGAAATATGCAGTAAGCGCTTTATCTCTGCTCTTCTTCTAACGAGATAGTTTTTCAAAAAAATACACAAAAAAAACCATCAAAGTTAAAAAAAAATTACTATCCATTGGAAAAACTTACTTGACATTTATGGGGAACAGACGCGTAGAAGCCATCATGTAGGCCATCACATTTGAAGTCCATGGTCTCTGGCGGAGGAACGGCTTCGTAGAAAGGGTACTCTGACAAATTGTATCCATTGAGTTCCCGTGGAAGGTTAGGATCATAGATATAATCTTTTTGTGGTATTCCGGATAATTTCTTAGTAGCATTTTGTGGTGCTTCGGTGCCTTCTGCTGTTGTTTCTGGCTGAAATTATATAATAACTTGTTTAATTTTAAAAGGCGTTACCGTTACCTGTACAGCTATTTAAGTCGATTGCTGAACATAGGACTCCCACATAGATTGCCTTATAAGGGAGATATTTGCCATAGTTGCCACGCTTGGCAGGCGGGTTGGCAACCTTAGTTTTTTTTATTTTCAGTCGTTATTAGGAAGACGTGAGATGAATCTTACACCAACACTAAACGGTAACTGGTTTTACTAACTTTTTTTTTATTTAAATTTACCTCCACACTAGGATTTTCTCCTGTATCGTGGGGACAGTTTACATACATAAATTTCACACGGACAAACATCCAGACCCGGAACAATTATTTGTAGGCCATACAAATACTTGTACCGTGCGAGATTCGAACGCGCCACTACGCCACGGAGCCGTTATATAAAATTTGTTAACAATGATTGCATTATTTGATTATGGACGGATCGACACCCACGGGATGATATGGGGTAGTGGATATTCTTACACCGCCACTACAAATTAATACAAATTTTATATAACTTTTTCGTCGCCGGCTCATCATAGTTCTCACACACATTGACCTCTGACATCGTTTTTATGTCTGGATATTTTAATATTGGTGTAAATGAGATGGTTGTACTGCTTGTTTCTCACCTTTTTTATAGAACTAGGGTGACAAACGAGCACACAGTCCACCTGATGATAAGTGGATGCTGCGGCCCAAAGATATCTACATTTATCCTCGATTAGAGTCAAAATGCAGACGCGTTAACTCCCCTGAGGACTTCGGTGGCTCGTATCCAGTAAATAGTGTCTCCGGTTCTCTACTATCACCAATACGAAACACAGCAACATTAAGCTACAATTTCAAACGCTGGTATTCTGTAAGAGTATTATCCGCTCCCGGTCTAGCCGACCCATTCGTGATACAACCGTAATATGCCTGCAGCGAGGCTCTACCTAAAGTAAACCACGTAAAGTTTTATATAAAACATATTATCCCTAATGAAGGAAATGAGAAAAAATATAGCAACTTCCGTAAACTACAGGAAGGTATGAATCATTGTAACGGAAAACAACCTAAGCGAAGGTTTCTCTTGAGATTTTTGCACAAAAACATAATGAGACCGAGTCTTGTTGCATTAGTATTTATTTAACCTATCCATATAACTAAAATTGAAGTGTCTGTCTGTAATATCGAAATAACTACCTTTTAATAAATAAATAAAATCTCTTTATTTCGGACAAACAACAATCGTTAGTAGATACAAAGAAGTTATATAGCTATGTTAGTTATAATTAGGTGCAGTCACGAATAATTAGTTTAAGTACAAACTAGGCCTGCCTGAGGCACTAGGTTTATTCACATGCATATTCACCCAGTGTGCCATAATAGGGCAATCTGGTTTGTCACTAATAATAACAAGCCTTCAGTTCAGTTTATTGAGCTCAGGAGGTTATTTTCATGCCATTAAGACATAAGTAACTATATTTATCTGTCATATTTGTGACAAAGCAAATTTATGTTGCAGTGGTGAACGGCATAGTCGGGAAGGGTCGCCCTAGGCGAAAGTTTATCGACCAAATTGGCGATATATTAAAAATGGGCCATATCAAGAGTACCTTTAACCGACGAGCGTGTATGCGTAGGTATATGGATGTGGAGGAAGCGAAAGAGGTGTGTCAGGATCGTGCCAAATGGAAGTCCATAATCTCTGCCTACCCCTCTGGGTGACAGGCGTGAGTGTTTATATTTATGTTATGTTATATTTGTCTGTCTGTCTGTTCGGGCTAGTCTTCGGAATGGCTATATTAATTGTAATAAAACTTCACGAAAAAATAGAGAGCAATACAACGAGTGATCTAAGCTAAATTTTATCAGAAAAGACTAGGAGATTTTTTTTAAAGTGAAAAATTCTTTAGCGTCGTTGTGTTTTGAAACTGGATGAAACGAAAAAACGACACTAAAAGTAGACAGGATTTAGTTTGCGAGAGAACGAGATAGAATACAGTGTGGTAAGCGACAGTGGCACAATGGCAGAGCGCGGACCGTGAACTCAAAAGATTGTGGGTTCAAATCACATTCATTTTTATTTTTAAACTTACCAATAGTGGCTAAAGGCAATTGTAGATAATATGTTAATAGCATTGCTAGTGTTTAAAAAAATAGTGTTTCCTATTATTTCGATCTTGTTGTGCGGTGCTTTAAAGATGGTTAATATAAACTTTAACTGTTAAAATAAACAGTTAAAATTTTTTAATTAAATAAATAAATTTAAACATATTGAATAAAATTATCATACCCAATTCATTCATATCAATCCACGATTTCATATTACCGATTTATATTAAATTATTCGTGTTTATGCTATATACCATCAATCTTATGTATCACTGATAGTCAATCAATTATTGTTCGATAAGATGACTTTATAAACAGAATGAAGAAGATGGCGCTTTACATTACACAGTAATCTTACTTGAAAGAACAATATTCGTTTCATTTATCACACTAAAATTAAGTCTAAAAATTAGGATTGCAACATTCACTTGCTATAAAATTAAACTTTTATCTTATATTTTTTACCGCACTTGTGGTTCAAAATTATCTTATTAAATACATAATATATCATTTACTGTGAAATATTTTAATTTTATATTTAATTTCATTTGAAGATTTCACTTCTACCGCATGTGAACTGCACACATGTTATTGGAACGAAGTCCTTATCGGACGGTACGGGTTTGGCGGATGGGAGCTAGGCGACAAAAAGTGTGAGATTTTGTCACTACCCCTTGTGTTATAGTGCATTTTATTTTAAGTGACGCTTCATTTTAATAAACGCTAGTAATACATTTATTTGTATTTGTTAATCAATAATATAATACGTTTGTCAATAATAAGGAACTACGTTCCAACCTTGTGTTCCACGACACTCACGCATTTTTTTTTAAAGAATAATTGTTAACATCAAACTGAAGGTCTTGGATTGCCTTAAATCTAAATAAGGCCACATTAATATATGCCAGCCGAAGATGGGACGTGTCGCTAGTATTTAATAAATACATTACTAACGATTGGAATTCGAAGCAGTACGTATAGAATTGAAAGTAAATCACCTTGTGTGTATCTCCATGAATACTAAAGTGAGTTTCCTGCATGGAAAAATACAGCGGAATTTGATTATTTGACTGTATTATATAAAGATTGTTCCACACTGAAGGGCATAGAGAGTTAGTATAACTACAGGCTGTGTGTTCCATCTTAATTCTCAGAAGTGACGACCCATCTGTAGTCTCCTAAGTTTGAAGTTGACTGCAGCTGTCCATGGACTACAGTAGCCACTTACCATCAGGTGGACTGTTTTTTTATAATATACATAACTATATAATATACATTTACATCTACATCTATCCTCAATAAATAATCAAAATGCAGATGCGTTGTCACCCGTGAGGACTAAGATGGAATGCCTCGTAAAAAGGGTATCCGGTTCTCTACACTCACCATACGGAACACAGCAGCGTTAAGCTGCTATTTTACGCTGGTATTCTGTGAAAGCGTGGTCCTTCCCCGGTCGAGCCGACCCATTCGTGCTACAACTATACTACCAATATAGCTGCAGCATTGCTCTACCACGAATAGAAACTCTCGTTACTGTGAGTTTTCACTTCTGTTTATTTTTTATAGAATAAGGATGGCAAACGAGCACACAGTCCACCTGATAGTAAGTAGATCCTGTGGCCCATAGATATCTACAGCTATCACGGATCAAGAATTAAAACGTGGATGCATAGTCACGCCTGAGGACTAAGATGGAATGCCCAGTAAAAAGGGTGTTTAGTTCTCAACACTCATATGAAACACAGCAGCATTAAGCTGCCATTTTACGCTGGTATTCGGTGAGAGTGCGGTCCCACAAAAAGACGTCTCGTATATCTGGTTTGGCCATTTAGAAATAACGAACGAGGAAAGAGTGACAAAACAAATTTATGTTGCAGAAGTGAACAGCAGAGTCGGGAAGGGGCACCCTAGACGAAGTTTTATCGACCGAATTGGCGATATATTGAAAATGGGCCAGATTAGGAGTACCTTTAACCGACGAGCGTGTATGCGTAGATATATGGATGTAAAGGAGGCGAGAGAGGTGTCAAGATCGTGCCAAATGGAAGTCCGTATTCTCTGCCTACCCCTCTGGGTGACAGGCAGGAGTGTATATGTTTGTATGTATGTACGTTTAGAAGCTTTGACGCCGCTGCCCGTGCACCGTATTTTACGTCTGTCGTAAACGAGATTAGCGCCACCTATCGGTATTACATGATCTTTCTAGCATATCCCATAGACGCCTCTGAGGACATCCCAATTGACGAAAGGAGGAGATGGATTCTCTTAGACCGGCATCAAGCGGCAACATAACAACAAATCTAATCAACTTTCTGAAGATGTTTAAAAATTTATTACCTAAGATCCGCGTAGCAAAATAAATGATGCGTCTTACCTAGTTTGAAGAGCAAGTCCCACCCTCTATCAATTGCTTGCACTATCTTCATCACCACCACACTAGGAAAAACACATCACCGTCGATAGTACAACACGTGTTTCGCCGCTAAACGAGGCAGCCTCAGGTGAAGTGGACTGTGGTGGCTGACAGCTACGTGAGTGGCGAGTCGAAACAGTTGTTATTTATATGTTGTGTCTTTCACTTTCCTAGTGTAGTGGTGTTGGTATAAGCGGTGACAAGGATAGTGCACGCAAGTGAGGAGACAGTGAGGGAGGGCGCGAGGTGCTCTTTAATCTAGGTAAAATTAAAGAGCACCTCGCACCTTAAACGGCTCCGTGGCGCAGTGGCTTAGCAATGAGTTGTTGCGCTAGGGGCCGCGGGTTCGAATCCCGCACGGAACAAGTATTTTGTATGGCCTACAAACAAATGTTCCGGGTCTGGATGTTTGTCCCCGTGCAATTTATGCTCGTAAACTGCCTCCACGACACAAGAAAAATCCTAGTGTGGGAGTAACGTTTCAAAAAATTAATTTATAGTATCTTTAATATAATGGATTTCCGAGAAGTAACGCCTGATTCTTCTTATCGACTTTCTGAACACGAGATCTGTGTTCATTGAGATCTGTGATATGTTTTTTTTTAATAGAATAAGGGTGAAAAACGAGCACACAGTCCACCTGATGGTAAGTGGTTGCTGTGGCCCATAGACATCTACATCTATCCCCGATTACAAATCAAAATGTAGATGCGTTGTCACCCGTGAGTACTAAGATGGAATGCCTCATTTCCAGTAAAAAGGGTCTCCGGTTCTCTACACTCACCATACGAAACACAGCAGCGTTAAGCTGCTATTTTACGCTGGTATTCTGTGAGAGTGCGGTCCTTCGCCGGTCGAGCCGGCCGACCGGCGAAGGACCGACCGAGCCGACCCATTCGTGCTACAACTATACTACTAATATAGCTGCAGCACGGCTCTACCACGTTTAGTTTAGTTTATATAATAGGTATATGTATTTTATGTATATTGTTTGTACGTTTATGTAGAATTGTTTATATATGTATTTGTTTATATATGTAATGATATATAATATAAATAAATATATAAGTTTGTGTTGTTATAAGTATATATATATATATAAATTTTTTTTTTGCGATCAATAAGTAAGTATACACCTGCCACAATAGTTTACCACAGTATGGGTTGACTGACAGAGAATGCCGACCGGCATTAAGGTCGCTCATTGTTACCTTAGTCGTAAGGTGTGACAATAAAGTATAAATAAATAAATAAATAAGATCCGTATATCAGTATAGATGCCACAACCGCTACCTGTGTCTGTTATCTGTGAACTAAGGAGTAGATAAAATTTAATCACCTGTGATTCATCTTCACCCTCTTGTGCTTGCTCTTCTGGGGCACTTGTCGTACTGCTGGTCTTAGAGAAGATTAGGGAAGTGGCTCTCGCTGCTGATGTAGTGGGTAGGTCCACGGATAACACGGCAAGAACTACACCTGTTAACAAAACAATCACATTAATTTTGTTTGTCAAAAATATGCAAGTAAATATCAAATAACATAAGCGACAGTAAGTATAAAAGACCACTAATGAACATAGCCGGAAACGTTGTACTTGATCATTAGATCTTTCATCCACCTGCTCACCTTGGTCTTTCGATCCTGATATACGTCAGAAGTTTCGTTTGTATGACAAAACGGATTTCGGTTTTATACTTTTAAAGGTCGCGAGATATTTATTTACTTTTTCTACAGAGGGTAGGGACATCTGCAATCTTTTTGCCTTTTATTTCACTTCCGTATACTGTAATAAGTGTATAAGTAAAAGTAATGAATACCTTGACACCAATCACAACATTATTAGCAAAAACTGAATGTGTTTTTCTCCATAGAAATAGATCGACATTTAATTTAAAAAAAAGTCAAAGAGTGTGGACATTTCTAAGGATTACGATAATATTCCCCCAATATTAATTTCTACGTGTAAACCTTCTTAAAATACTTATAAAATGTTTAATACTTCGCTTCAAACTGGTACTTTTCCAGCTAATATGGATAACTTCCAAAGTTGTGCCTATTCATGAAAATGGTGATTTTATCTACCTTTGCCAAAAGTACTGGAAGCAATACTGTACTGGGAGCATTAAAAATGTTAGGCAACGTAATAAGAAATGGGATATTTTTCTTAAATCCATCAATAAAAATTATGTTCTACTGCAGCCTAGTACGCTCAATTTTGGAATACTAGTATGGCGTCCCCATTTTGCGACTTATAGTATGAGAATTGAACGGATTCAAAAAAGATTCATATGCCATTTAGTGTACTCCGTTGGCAGACTAAGAATCCCTATTCGTACTCGAAATCATTAGAATACTTTGAACTGACATCAACGGACAAGCGAAAAGATGTAATTAACTTAATGTTCTTCAATAAAATTATTAGAAACTGCGTATGCTGTCCACAACACCTCTCAAAGTTTTGCTTTAGAGTGCCGCGGAGAATTCCTCGAGCTCCGATCAAGCCTAGAGGCTATGCCCATTCCGTAGGACGCTACGAGGATCGAATTCTCCGATCTCTAGTATGAGCCATCTTTGCAACAAATATTGTAACCATCACCAAATCCTTGACTTACATTGTATGACAGAATCTAAATTAAAAAAAAAACAATTTTACAAATATAGCTTTTAGTTTAGTTTAGCCTTATTAGTTAATGTTTTATTGTGTAAGCGATGATTATCTATAAGTGATTGTGTATTATGTCCTAGATACTAAGCAGTAGCAATTAAGATGTTTATTGGTGTAACAATCGTTGTTAATATAATAAAATTAAATAAATAAGTATTTTGGCATTTTTCTTTGTTGATAACAACGACGATCATGAATCCATAATCAAATAATGCAATCATTGTTAACCAATAGAAGTTAGTAAAACCAGTTACCGTGTAGCATAGATTACCTCCAATCTATGCACTGTAGTGTCGGTGTAAGAATAGCATCCCACGTCTTCCTCTTGTCTTCTGTTGGACCTTCTGCTGACCTCTCATCCGGACGTATATCAGGTTTCCGTCGATGCCCCTCTCGGCTCTTCGGACCATTGTCTGATCCGGAGTGTGGTGCCACTCACGCTCCCTTCGCGGTTGCGTTCTGCAGGTTGCCGCCGTGTTTGGCATTACAGGTCGGCGGATTGGGACGGAATGCGGTCCTTCTTTGCATCCTACCCATGGGGGCGGGTTTGCTTCTCGCCGGATGATCCCAGCGCTGTTGCTGACTCTGTCACTGATGTGGTGCTACAGGGAATGGAACTATTTATTCCATCATCTGTGGTACCCATCGGAGGCAGATCTTAGCCTTGGTTTGGTCGCTCCTGTAAGACTGCATTACGCAGTAAGCAGGAGTGTTATCAATCCTGGGCTGCGGCTTCGGCGACTCGGGATGTAAATACCAGCACACTTAAAAAGAAGTATAACTTCGCCTCCAGGTCCTTCAAAAGAGTTATTGCCAAGGCAAAGTCAGAGCACATAGGCAGAATTGGCAAGAAACTAGTTCGCCTTCCTTCGGAAACCCGTGCATTCTGGTCTCTCGCCAAGGCTGTCCAAGGGAATTTCTGTAAGCCATCACTACCATCTCTGCACAGGGAGGATGACTCACTGGCCCATGACGCAAAAGACAAAGCCGACCTTTTAGGCTCCCTTTTTGCGTCCAACTCGACTCTTGATGACGGGGGGAAAACACCGCCGACCATCCCGCGGTGTGAGTGCTCCATGCCGGATGTGCTGTTCTCACAGCGCTCGGTTCGCAAAGCACTGCTCTCCCTGGACATCCAGAAGTCGAGTGGGCCTGACGGAATCCCCCCAATTGTGCTGAGGACGTGTGCTCCGGAGTTGGCACCGGTCCTAACGCGTCTTTTCCGGTACTCCTACTCCCAAGGCGTAGTCCCGAATTCATGGAAGACAGCTTTTGTCCACCCGATCCCTAAAAAAGGCGACCGCTCAGACCCATCCAACTATAGGCCTATCGCGATCACCTCCTTGTTCTCCAAAATAATGGAATCCATTATTAACTGCCAGCTCATTCGGTACCTTGAGGATCACCAGCTGATTAGTGACCGCCAATACGGTTTTCGTCGGGGTGGATCAGCTGGTGATCTTCTGGTCTACCTGACCCATAGATGGGCGGAGGCAGTAGAGTCCAAGGGGGAGGCGTTGCCCGTTAGTCTGGACATTGCGAAGGCCTTCGATCGGGTTTGGCACAAAGCGCTTCTTTCGAAGCTCCCTTCCTATGGGCTTCCCGAGAAATTGTGCAATTGGATCACCAGCTTCCTTGCAGATCGGAGCATCAAGGTCGTTGTAGACTGTGCATGCTCTGACTACAAGCCTATTAACGCTGGTGTTCCACAAGGCTGTGTGCTATCACCAACGCTGTTTCTTTTGCATATCAATGATATGTTGCTAACTGGTAACATTCATTGCTATGCGGATGACAGCACTGGTGATGCTCTATACACCGGCCGTGCCAATATTTCTCGGGAAAACGTCGCTGAGTACCGGAACAAACTTGTGTCTGAAGTCGAGTCTTTGCTGAACAAAGTCTCGGATTGGGGGCGACTAAATCTAGTCCAATTTAATCCTCAGAAGACACAAGTTTGCGCGTTTACCGCTAAAAAGAACCCCTTTGTCGTATCTCCTCAGTTTCAAGGCACTCCCCTTCTTGCCTCAGCCAGTATCGGTATCCTCGGAGTCGACATATCGAGTGACGTGCAGTTTCGTGGTCACTTGGAAGGGAAGGCCAAATTGGCCTCTAAAAAGCTTGGCGTGCTCAGCAGAGCGGGACAGTATTTCATGCCGGCACACCGCCTGCTACTTTACAAGGCGCAAGTTCGGCCTCACATGGAATACTGTTCCCATCTCTGGGCAGGGGCTCCCCAGTGCCAGCTCCTTCCACTTGACCGCATCCAACGCAGAGCGGCTCGAATTGTCGACGACCGAGCCCTTTCCGATCGGCTCGATTCATTGGCACTGCGAAGAGATGTTGCATCCCTTTGCATTTTCTTTCGCATCTACCATGGGGAGTGCTCTGAGGAATTGTTCGGATTAATCCCAGCCGCCAAATTTCACGAACGCACATCGCGGCAGAACTCCCGATACCATCCACACCATCTGGATGATTGGCGGTCCACCACTGTGCGATTTAGAAGATGTTTTCTTCCTCGCACGACCTCCTTGTGGAATCGATTACCATCAGCGATTTTTCCGGACCGATACGACTTAGGGGCCTTCAAGAAAAGAGCGTACTCCTTTTTAAAAGGCCGGCAACACATCTGCGATTCCCCTGGTGTTGCTGTTGTTCATGGGCGGCGGTAGTCACTTACCATCAGGTGAGCCGCATGCTCGTTTGCCCCCTCTCCTATAAAAAAAAAAACGCAGCCAGCGTTCTTGGCACGATACCGCGGGGAGTAGGACTATATGATAATTAAGTTTCTAGTATTAGTTTTTTTTTATTATAATAGTTTTTACTAAAAATTAAAATACTAAGTCATGTGTAATATTACTGTAAACTATCACGACGTATATTTGAAAATAGTTTGGAAAATCCAAAAGTGCACGACTCATAATGCTCATATGATCATCATGTCATCATTCATGTCACTCCATAAAGTCCAAGACGTATTTAAGTACAAATATTACATTCTACTTAATTTTAGTACGTACTACTATTATTTATTCTGTGCTTTTAAAATATTGTAATAAAAATCTCTGATTATTATAATAATCAAGTACAAATACAGTATCCACTCACAACGGCGGTTGACGCCGAACTAACCGAGTCAGGAGGCAGTTTCTGTTTATTAAAATGAATTCACACAAGGCTGCTAAATAACCGAAAATTTCGACATTTAGCAGCCAAAAAAAATTAATTATAACTAAACAAAACACAATTAAACTACCATTTACATTCAGTACCTTCCTACATGATAGATGAAGAGTTTAAAAATAGATTGAGTTGAACAATTGATATTTTCAAAAGTTATCGTGTTTACGAAGCTATACGGACTTGGTAAATCCACACCATATCAACTAAAACCCCTTTTTTATGTAAAAATAGCAATTAATCGATTTAATAAAAAATATTAATAAGTTCAACAATCATTTATCTTTCTGAAAATGTACTTTTTATATAATTTATATGTATACTATGATTGCTAGATACGATTTCATGCGACGTAACGTTGGCTACTTGACACCAAAAAGTTGGTAATTCATTTTTATTTTTGTGTAAAATAAATCAATATCTCTTCAACATCTTGTCGTTAAAAACATATTTTGCACAACACAACATTCGTAATGGCCGGTGTATTATGTCAATGCCATGCAAATTAAAACTTGCAATTTTCCTGTTATATGAATATTGGAGTTACACAAGGACTTCCAAGTATCAATTTGGGTGTAAAACGAAAAATGTGAATACGTTGCTAATGTGTTTTGCTTAATCCTAAATA